TGATTTATTATTAAAGAGGCCAGCTATGATTCATACATTTCAGGAGGTGCCGTGTTGAACAACGCTCCTCTGTTGGCGTCTAGACGGTTTTAACACGGGATGCAGAGCGAGATAATCCCAGCTGTGAAATTTGGGGGCTCTGCAGCCGTGACCCAGACGAGACCTGAGGGCCCGTGAACCAAAATCCCCCCCGTCACTCATCCAGACCCCCTAGGGGCTATTAGCTGGATCTTAATATGGCACCTCCAGACTGAAAGGGGGTCTGGCAGTGAAGCTCGCAGCCTGTGAATCTCCCAGCAGCTCACTGAGCGTTTAGGAGAACAATTGATGTTTCATACACATCGTAATTGGAAACAGATTTCCTCCGGAGGCCTGCCAGTCAAACCGAGGGTCTCAGACGTTTTGAAACAGGGTCTTTCAGTGTGAGACCAGGGGCCTGAAACTGCACCGGAGAGTAAGAGAGGAAAATTATTGGGACGTTCAGAACATTTAACTCGTAACCAATGCATGTGATTTCAAATGACATAATCACCTTCCTACCTGAACAGCAATAGCGGGCAATCAGCTCAGGTCTTATAGTTTTATACAAAACATATTTGGAACAAGACACGCAATAGAGTTCTACACTGGAAGAAATGCTGTTCCAAAAACAAACTGTTTTCACTTGAAATAAGTACAACAATCTGCCAATAGACAAGTGCACATGTGCTTGGTAAGATTTCTTGAAATAAGAAGGGATATCTAGATAAATCAGATCTTGTAATTAGCTGGGAGAACTAATGTCAAACTATGTTTTAGCAGAATCAGGAAATGTTGTTACAATATAAGCCCAGATGCTCAAAAGTGTTCTGTTTCCGGATGTTAGTTGGTGATTTTCTAATAAATATACAGAAATATGTGTTTCATCTGAGATACAACTCAAAATAAGATGTTTTGACTTAACAAGATGAAGCATTGTCTAAAAACAAGACCCGATATCTCACTGCAGTGTTACTTCTGAAGTTATCAGGAGTAGAGACATATTCAGACTAGATATTAGACACATATACTTGGCAAGATTTCAAGTTTTTGTAGTGTAGGAGACAGATTGGAAAGCCAGTGTGATGTAGTTAATTTACCACATTTGAATTGTAGTCTTTATCACCTACTTTCAAGTAATAAAAAGGAGAAATTGTCACTTTGTTTGTATTATGTCTAATGTATGATATCATTAACAAAAACTACATTTTTTTATTTATTTCGCTTGTTTGTTAAAGTGGCCATATTATGCTTTTTAGGGTGTTCCCTTTCGTGTAGTGTGTTATACAGAAAAATAAAGAGCTTTACGAACATTAAAGCATGGAGACATGTCACAGTAGAGACATTACTGAGGCTTCCCTGTCTCGCCTACAGCTGGTCCAGAATGCTGCTGCACGCGTCCTTACAAGGACAGGCAGGCGTCAACATATTACGCCTGTACTCGCCTCGTTACACTGGATACCAGTCAATTTTAGAATACTATTTAAAATGTTATTGTTTGCACACAAAGCCCTAAACGGTTTAGCCCCACCACCATGAGCAGATCTTTTAAAACCATACACACCCACACGGTCACTGAGGTCTGCTGACAGACTCCTGCTGGTCGTCCCTAAATCGAGGTTAAAGCAGCGAGGAGACAGAGCCCTTGCAGCTCCAAAAGTATGGAACGAATTGCCCCTCAAAGTTAGACTTGCTCCAACTCTGCCTGTTTTTAAATCTCGTTTAAAACCCACTTCTTTCCGTGGCATTTACAGGGTTTTTATTTTACTAGTGTTTTGTATTGTTTTTACGTCATGTAGGAGAGCGTTTCAGTCTGTGGCTTCTGATCTGGTTTCATTGTCTCTTGTTTTACATTTGTTTCATGTCCTGTCTGTTTTTTATGTATTTATGCTGTTTTTATACAGTTGTTGATGTACAGCACTTTGTTCAACTCATGTAATAAATGTCATAAAGTGTCTCAACAACGCCAGGAAAACACATATTGAACCTTAGGGAGCCTTTGAAGTCCTGACAAGTCTAAAACAAACACATTAGGCGTTTCACACCAAGTACTTTGCCGTACTTCTGATGAACTAACGCAGCGTCCACACGGCGGTGTGCGTTGAAGCTTGCCGGTGAGCTTGTCTGAAACTCGACCAACAACCAATCACATGAATCTCCCGCCCCGGACACACCAGCACGCGGTTTGATTGGCTAGAGTTTGTACTGGCATATGATTTGATTGGCTGACGCTTCCGCCGAAGCTTCAAAAGTTGAACATTGCTCAACTTTTGAAGCTAGCAACGTGAGCAAGGTTATGGCTAGAAAGGATCCGTCTTGTGTATAACTCGCGAGTTTTCAAGTCACGTGGCTGAATGTTTACGTTTGGCAGGCAGCCTTTCAGTTACAATCGTTAACTAACATCAGTGGGCCACAGCAAATGATGGTGAGAAGCTAAACTATCTATTAATTATGTCAATTACAGGGAGTGTGATTGTTGAAATAGGGTGTTAGCGGTCTTGCTGGTGTTCAAAGAAGAATGACAACACTGTAGATCACCAACACTATGCTTTATTTTTTATTCACAGGCAAATCAAAGTTGTCGCAGTAAAAGTCCCAACCAAGATAGCTCCTGGTGCAATACAATGTTCCCTTTCAGTGTTTCACTATTATGTTTGATGTTTGTCTATTAATATTGCTGCTGCATTAATGTGTATGTTGAATCATGTTACTTCTGTAGATGTGTTTCCGAGCCGCTCGGATTACAACGAGAACGTGACGTCATATTTACACAAGACGGATCCTTTCTAGCCATAACCCGCGAGCAAAGCGGAGCAACGCTCCCACAATGCAGTTCAAAGCGAGACGTCTGGGGTGACGTCACGCTTTGCCGAACTGCATTGTGGGAACGCAAATGTTCGGAACTGTATCGGAACTATACTGGGAAAAGTACTCTGGTGTGAAAGCGCCTATAAGGACTAGTAGAGCAGCGTTTTTTATCCAACATGTTCACAAAAGATTCAGAGGACTCAAAGCATCAAACAGAACCACTAAACACATTTTATAATTTACCACAAATTATTGTTATTATTAATTATTTTCTCTGACTAGATATGTTCTTCCCTCCGATCCTCTTCATGTTAAAATGAGCTAACATGTGTTGGAGGTGGGCGAATGTGTGCCATCTGCGCAGAAAAGCATGTTTTCCCGAACATGGAGAGAAGAGGGTTGCCTGTTGTGTTGTCATGGATACGATGGTAGATATTATCTAAGCAGGCTTCGGGCAAAATGAGGAGGATTTTTTGTATCAATCATTACTCCTGCTTTTCATCCCTGGCTCAATATTTCTGCTGTCATCTGCAAAGCCTTTCAGAGCTCATGTGAAGGTGAAAATACTATGGAAACATTGTCGGCTAAAACCCTCCAACAAAAAATACCAAGAGATAAGATGCTTTCTTTAATTGAGAGACATTTATTTAGACATTTTCGGCCCATTCGAGCCACAAAAGCAACGTTATGTTTCACACCAAAATGATATATCCACGTTAAGCCCCTATTTAGCTTTCTGGCTTCAGGGATGAAAACATCATTTTGGGATGAAACTCTGAAATTAGGTACAAAAAGGAAAATAATTGCACAGTATTACGATGATGATGGCATGACAGAGAGATACCTTGTTAACCAGTGAATTTAAAGAGGCACATATTGGAGATGATGAGAGCCACCATCACATCATAGACAGTAGAAAACATGGACGTCGTCTCCGTGAATTCACCCTCAGGTTTCTGAAGAGACCTGCTAATCCAACCTGTCACTCAAACCCTAATAATGCCTCAATTTAAGCTTTAAAACAATCAAATCATCTTTAAAAGTGGATGAGTTATGCAAAAATGTGTCATGAAAAGGGGACATTAGCTATAGAGATCAATACAGATGTTGTACCGCGTTTGTAAATATCTTTATTTTGGCTGTAAAATTGGGCATTTTAACCTATGGACGTTCTAATAACTGCAGTTTTTGGCACTTCAACACGGGCTGATGCCACTACGTTCAGATGCACACAAACTATGCTGCTGAGGTCAATTTTAAGTGTCAAACCCTCCTCACTATCGCTTCAAATTAGTAAAGAAAACTGGTTAGAACGCTCTCTACTCGCGACAAAAATTGGCGATTTACTCAGATGTATTCAACAGAGTCTTTCCGTTGTTGCTGCCGAGACAACCACTGAGCTTTATGCAAATTAAATCCCATCTTATTACATTTTAAGCAACATTTGGAGCCAATGCTATCTTCGTTCATTGGAAAAGAGTTCTCGCTTGGACACAGAAATTAATAAAAACACATTCACTGGTTTGTAAAGTGTGGCAGAAGGAGTTGCATAGTGAGAGCCAGGAACCAATCTAACATTGTTAAGCTATCTGTTGTGCAATAAACATCGACTTTAAATGATACATTAAAGCATTAAAAGCTTGTCTTGATCAAGGAGTTTTAACCAGAGAACTGAATCCAGATGAATATTATCAGACCTTTAAATACACAGCATGTTGTGAATACATTTGTTACACTTATGATTCTGTCGGAAAGAGTAGAAATGAAGACGATGCCAACATGAAAACAGCTGATAATCGTCTACATGCATGTAAACGCTCAGCGAACATGCACTGTAAACATGATGTGATTAGCAAACAGTCAGATTTATTTATTTGTTCCTGCTGGACTGGCACAGTGTTCTCGATCTGTTTGTTAAACCGGACCCCCGCTGAGGAGGACGACAGACAGCACAGATAGAATTAATGAGGGGGAACGCAGGAGGTTCATTCCGTGGTTTTCTACGTGAGAAGCGCCGTTAACATTAACATAATATCAAAAGGCCGGGGATGAAAAGATACGGTTGATTGCTACCCTTTTCGCATTCTGTACTGAGATCCATCTTGCATTGTATTTGAAAACAATGCAAGATCATTTAGTTCGGCTTTAATTCACAATTTGGTGACAAAATGTCGTCTCAGACAGGTAGTCAAGTCCCTGCCAATAAGTAAGGCCGAGTAATGATCGCCAAAACTGTGATAAATAAGAAAAACAGCATTATTCCTGTATTGCAGTGTAGAGATAGCTTGTTCGTATGATAAGGGTAACAGAGAGTTATTTAATTTCCCTGTTTGTCTGCTTTGCTTTGTAGTACCTTTAAACTGTGTTGTCATGAAGGTGTGTGTGGAAAGTCACGTTACTCTAAGTGTAATCTAATCTAGTATAATGAGCTAATGATAAACTCTGATAGCTTCCATCGAATTGAAGTGCTTGTCGTGAACAGAACTCTACCTACTGTTAGTGGAAGCAATGTGGTTGAAATGTGGTTAGTCTATGGAAAGAGAACATGCAGAGAAAACAATGTACACTGAAAGAAATGTCGAATTCTCCGACCATCAATACAAATGAATCTCATTCTTCTAACCGCCTGTGGATCTGCTGACACGGCGGTTCAAAGCGTATTGATAATCTTCTCTTGCCTCTCCGTGTCGCTCCGCTGACTCGACGTAGCAAAGCAGTAAAACACAAAGCAGGTAACAAAGTCTGTGACACAGTGGGAGGTTTATTCCCAAAATAATCACCAACAAAAGAGGTTTTTTTTAAAAGTAGAAGACCTCCAACTGAGTAAACCACAGCCAGGTGTCCTCCCTGCTCCTCTTAACACCAGCATTATAATATGCAAGTGCTTTTGTGCAAACTATGCAGATCGAAATCCGTACTGAGAGCAGTCTAAATTTAAGGGAATACAAAAAACAAACAAAAGTTTTAAAACCAGCATGGGGTTGAAGGGAAGCAGAGAGCGTCCCCTTACTCATGGCCGTCAGTGTGTTCCCGTCACCTCCGATGCCTTTTCGTGTCCTTGTCGTCTCCTCAGTCGCCCACGTCGCTGTCCTGGTCCCCTATGACCCACAGGAAGTGGAAGCTGAGGGCCAGCAGCGCGGTGCCCAGCAAGTCCCCCAGAGCCGTCAGGTAGGGGATGGAGAAGCTGTCGGGGTCTTTGCCGCTGCGCCACATGGAGTGCACCATCCAGTCCGCTATGCACAACAACAGCAACACCTGGGAGAGAGAGGTAAGGTACGTTTATTTAGAAAGAACATTTTCAGGCAATTCAAAGTGCTTCAAATCATCATTAACACTTAATAAGAAGACAACAGAAAGGAACTCAATACATAAACACAATGGAATAACAGATTCAGAAACACCATGCGTAACACAGATACAGAATAGTTTAAAAACAACATAGTAAATACAGTAGGTGCTCAAACAAGTTAAAAGACTTCTGGGTAAGCAGCTGAAAAAAGTAATGTTTTTAGCCTCGACTGTAAAGAACTCAGAGTTGGTGAAGACCTCAGGGTTTCTGGGAGTTTAGGAGGAGGGTTTGACTTTGGATTAAAGATAGAAAGGTGTTTCGAGAAGGGCCGCCATTCATATGCCGTTAATACCTGTGCAATATATACCTGGCTGCTAAATCTTCAGAACTGTTACAGGATGTGTATTTTGTAAATTGTGTCATTTATTTGTATGCATGCTTCTTAGGTAACATTAAGCTGTCTTTGGCTCTTTTCTGCTGTAACAACGTAAATAGGCGCTTTCACACCGGAGTATTTTTCCCAGTATAGTTCCGAAAATGTACGTTCACACCAAAAAAATCCAGAACTAGAACTTAGTTCATCAGAACCTTTTTTACCCCCTTTTCAGTCCCTGCTAGAGAGCAGGACTTTCCTGGGAGAAAAAGGTTCCTATGTCTGATTGGCTGGGCGGATTGCAAACCACGCCCCGTAAAACTCGTAAAAACGTTTTGTGAAGCCGCCATTTTATTTTCCTTGCATTAGCATTATTAGCATTAGCATTAGCCCAGCGCACAAACGCAGAGAGACTAACTTATGGCAACACAAAAGAAAACATGGGAGCGGTGGAGATGAGGAGGTGTCAGCGTTCTGGAGATTTACTCGGAAGGCTTCACTGAAGCCAGTCCCCAACTCCGGGGACTTGGGGTGGCAGTATACGCCGTGAAGTTGTTTGCGGCCTGCCAGTAAACCCAAAGCAGAAGAAGAAGAAGTGACGTCAGCGGCTTAATTTGCCTAATCCTTGAAGTATTATTTGAATTATTTGAAGGATTAAAGTAACGTGTTATGGCAGGAAAGTTCAATCTGGTATATTCATTTTAATGTCACCTCATATATAGAATGTGTGTTAAACTTGTGATTTCTGCATTGAGTGACTTCTGCCTAGCAGATAACAAGAAGAGGCCCCTAGGGTCTCTCTGTTAATTATCAATAGTCCTTGCAATTAACAGGGGAATTCCCGGATACATTTTCAGATAATGCAGTTAAAGTCTTGTAGAATTAATGATTTATCTCCTACACATCCTGCAGGCCTTGAGACTGGGGTCACCCAGCAGTAAATGAGATAAATGTCCTTTTGAGCTTATCAATAAAATGTATTCATTCCCAGTAAGCTGACTTTGGGGTGAAGGGAAGTTCAGGGAAGCCATTAAGCCACAAGAACAATTAACTTCTGTTAAAGATACATGATACGATGTTTGTGTGTTAAAGATGTTTAGGGGGAATGAGTATGTGTCCTGTCAAAGAGTCCTCTGTCATGACTCCAAATCATTGATTGGGGGATCTGCCTGAGGGCAGAGGGACAGAAACACACACACACACACACACATACACTGTGAAGCAA